GCTGGATTTGGGGAGGGGCTGGATTTGGGAGGGGGCTGGATTTGGGGAGGGGGCTGGATTTGGGAAAGGCTGGATTTGGGAGGGGGTTGGATTTGGGAGGGGGCTGGATTTGGGGAGGGGGCTGGATTTAGGAGAGGGGCTGGATTTGGGAGGGGTTGGATTTGGGGAAGGGGCTGGATTTAGGAGAGGGGCTGGATTTGGGTAGGGGGTTGGATTCAGGAGGGTCTGCATTTAGAAGGGAGATGGATTTGGGAGGGGGCTGGATTTAGGAGAGGGGCTGGATTTGGGGGGTTGGGGCTGGATTTAGGAGGGGGCTGCCCCCTCGGCCCCCCTCCCTATCCCAGTCCCCCCCATCCCACCTGGAGCCGCAGCAGGAGCCGGTACAGGTTCACCAGGTGCTGGTTGATCTCCTGGAGTGGGGAGGGACACAGGATTTTTAGGGGGGCTGTGAGTGACCCCTGAGTGCCCCCGGGGGGGGGGGATACCGAGTCACCGCCCCCCCTGCCCCCCAAAAACCCTCCAGACCCCCCCTCACCTCCTGGGGTCCCCTGGGCGGGACCTGGTTCCCGTTCCCGTCCTGTGGAGAAATCCTGGTGTCAGCAAGGTGGGGGGGGACACAGCAAGGGTTGGGGGGGTCCCCGAGGGTCCCACCCCCCCCCACTCACCCTCTGCCCAGCCTCCGGATCCGCCCGGAATTCCAGGGAGCCGTTGATGCTTCCGGAGTCTCCGTCTGCGGGGACGGGACGGGTGAGCCCCAAAAAGGAGAGGGGGGTCCTGGGGGGGTCCCCAAAACCCGACCCCCCTCCCTGACCCCCCCCTCCTTACTGCTGGCGCCGGGGCTGGGGCAGCTCTCGCCCTCGGGGGGGTTGTTCTGGTTGGGATCCCGATCCCGATCCCGGGCGCATCCCATGAAAATCTCCTTCAGGCTCTCCACTGGGGGGGAGGGGCAGTGTGAGACACCCCCCCTCATCCCAGAGACTCCTGGGGCATCCCAGAGCAAGCATCCCATCCTGGATCATCATCCCATCCTGGATCATCATCCCATCC